AAAACATCATGGAATGGGTGAGCAACTGGCTCACGGGTCAGGCACAAAGGGTAACAGTAACTGAGGTGACATCAGACTGGGGACCTGTCACTGTTGGGATTCTACAGGTCTCCACCTGAGCTCTGTGCTCTTCAACACCTTCATAAATGACTTGGATGCAGGACTGGAAGGGATACTGAGCAAGTTCACAGATGATACAAATCTGTGAAGGAGCTGTTGACTCCCTCGAAGGCAGGGAAGCCCTGCAGAGAGACCTCAACAAATTAGAGGTGGGCAATCACCAAATGTATGAAGTTAAACAAAGGAAAGTGCTGGATTCTGCAGCTGGGATGGGGCAAACCTGGATGTATGGACAGAATGGGGAATAGGAGGCTGGAAAGCAGCGCCTGGAAAGGGACCCAGGGGTCCTGGTCAGTGGCCAGTTGGGTCTGAGCCAGCAGTGCCCTGGCAGCCAGGAGGGACATCCCTGTCCAGGGGGGAATCAGGCCCAGCATTGTTGGCTGGGCATGGAGGGGATTGTCCCGCTCTGCTCTGTCCTCACCTTGAGCGCTGGGAGCAGTTTTGGCCACCACAAGATAAAAAAGACATTAAGCTGTTGGAGAGCATCCAAAGGAGGGAATCAAAGATGGTAAACAGCCTTGAGGAGAAGACATATGAGGAGCAGCTGAGGGCAACTGCTCTGTTCAGCTGGAGGAGACTAACAGGAGACTAATCACAGTTACAATTTCCATGTGAAGGGAAGAGACAAACACTGATCTCGTCTCTGTGGTGACCAGGGAAGGACCAGAGGGAATGGCTGGATCCTGGAGTGTCAGCAGAGGTTTAGATTGTGTATAAGGGGAAGGTTCTTCCCCTAGAGGGTGCTGGCACTGCCCAGGCTCCCCAGGGAATGGGCACAGCCCCAAGGCTGCCAGAGCTCCAGGAGTGTTTGGGCAGCACTGCCAGGGATGCCCAGGGTGGGATTGTTGGGGTGTCTGTGCAGGGCCAGGAGTTGGACTCTTCTTGTGGGTCCTTTCCAACGCAGGACATTCTGTGGTTCTGTGAAATAAAGTCAGAAAAGAGGGAGGAAGAGAACAAGAGCAGACTCTCACTAGTCCTTAGATCCCACCTTATTCCTGGAGCTGAACTTGTGAGACAAAGTGAAAGAGAGGAAAAAGAGAACCAGGGGCCCAATCGACTTCCCTTCATAGTTAACCCAGTGCAGCCTCTTATGTAAATTAGATTTTTTGTTCTGTTTTATTCACAAATGCACAGCCAACCCTTCGAGAGGGGAAGCTGAGCATGAGTCTCTGAGAGTTGGCTCAGGTCCACAGGACCTGATCTGATCACACCTTTCCTGTTGCGACAGTCACAGTGTCTTAGGCAAATCATGCCTGTGCCTGATCTTCTCAGGGGATGAAAAAGGAGGCTCGGGGGGACCTTGTGGCTCTGCACAACCCCCTGACACGAGGGGGCAGCCAGGTGGGGTCAGGCTCTGCTCCCAGGCAACAGGGATATGACAAAAGGAAACAGCCTCCAGCTGTGCCAGGCAGGTTTAGTTTGGATATTGGGAAAAATTTCTTCATGGAAAGAGTGGTCAGGCTGTGGCTCAGGCTGCCCATGGCACAGGTAGAATCTCCATCCCTGGAGGTGTTCAGGGGATATAGTTAGTGGTGGCTTTGGCAGTGCTGGGTCAACAATTGGTCTTAATGGTCTTAGAGGGCTTCTCCAACCAAAATGATTTCATGGTTCAGTGATTCTGGGTTGTGACTAGGATTACAGGTGTTGTAGAAAAATGGAAAGAGGTTTGCAAACATGAGTTTGGGCATAAGCAAATCCCATTGAAAAGTTGCTGGCCAAGAAGTACCCATAGGGGCTTGAAAAGGCTCCCTCCATGGCTGAAATGGTGGAGTGTTTCTCCAGGTAACCTCTTGATGCAGCCCAAGGGTTGGATCAGTGCAGGATCGTCTCAGAGCAGTGACATGGACAGACTGTGACTGGTCATGGTGCCTTTGCCTGGTGTCACATGCTAGACACTGTTCTCAAGTGTCTCCATGACACCTCTCTCTGCCCACCACTGGTTTCATGGCAGGTTCCAAACTCAGTCTTACTTTATAAAGGAATAGTAATTCTAAAGATTAAAATTTTTTAGGTGTATCAGGAACCACAAAGATCAGAAGATGGTCTAAACCTCTGTGTCTTGAGCCTCAAGATGTGCCAGTGGAGGTTCAAGTTGGACATGAGGAGGAATTTCTTCATGAAAAGGCTGGTCAGGCATTAGAAGGGGCTACTAAGGGAGGTTTGGAGTCTCCATCCCTGAAGGTGTCCGAGGAATACCTGGACATGGCACTCAGTGCTCTCATCTGGCTGATAAGGTGGAGACCATTCACAGGTTGGAGTCAATGATCTTGGGAGTCTTTTCCAACCTGAATGATTCCAGGTTTCTGTAGGTGACTTTATAAACTCAACTCTTTGCCTGGATCATGCTGTACATTAAATAGGAGGGGGATGATTGGGTTGGATATAAATTACTCTGGCGAGGAGGAGGACCTTAGAGAGAATCAGTGGGTGACTTTGCTCTCGCCCCTCCCAGCTGAGGATGCCTTCTTGGTAACATTTTGCATACAATTATAATTACCCATGTTAGCACATCATTATTAGTATGGTTGTTGTTCATCATCATCATCATCATCATCATCATCATCATCATCATCAGCAATCATCATTCTACTGGTGCTGGTGCATTTATCAATGGCAATTCCAAATGTGTATTTCTGTTGTTTCAATAATTCCTACTGTTTGTGGATCTGTGATTATGCAAGTCCTTATTGCACAAGACCAGACTTGTGGTGCCCAACTGGTCGTGATTGGAAATTTAACCCAGCTGTTCCCATCCCCTCTGAGGACCAGTTGGGACAAAGGGGGATTATTTTCTGCCAAATCCTATAATCTTCACATGACACCAATAATTGTCATGGGCAAACACTTGATGTTGGAAAAGATAATTTAGTTTGTTGGAAATTAAAATATGTTTGGATGTTGAGAAACCAAGACAAGATTTAAACCACCTTTTTCCCAGGCTCAGCTTCACATCCCCAACTCCTCCCTTTACCTCTAGCCTGGGTAGTGCAGTGGGGATGGGGAATGGGGGATGTGGTCAGTGTATAAAAAATCCCCTCTGCTGCTCATCGTTCCTTGCCTTTTTCCTTCTACAGGGTGGGTACTTCATGGGATAGGTGTGGTTTCTTCACGACACACCCACCTTCTCCTGTATTACCCCAACATCCTGTTGTTACCACAGTCTGGACATTCACAAATCCAGGGAGTTTTGACTCATTCTCTTGCTTGGGGTGGAGGAGGGAAATGGGGACTCCATTGTTGGTAGAGTCAATGTCCTTGGACATTTTTGGAGGAGTGACTGCTTGTGGCACTCAGTGGTCTTGTCCAGCTGGTGACTGGTCACAGGTTGGATTTGGTGGTCTTGGAAATCATTTTCAACCTAAGTGATTCTGGGATTCTGTGATCCTGGTCATGGGGCAAGAGAGAGGACAGAATATGAAAGGGTCTTTCAGTTTGTTCCCAAGGAGCAACATGAAAATTAGTGACAAGAATCTCTCAAGCAGTTTTGTAACATCTCAGAATCCCAGAACCCCAGACTGGTTTGGCTTAGGAGGGACTTTAAAGCTCATCCTGTCCCACTCCCTGCCATGGGCAGAGACGCCTTCCACTATCCCAGGGTGCTCCAGGGCCATCCATCCTGGCCTGTCTTCATGGATAATGTGCCATGGAGCGCCATGTCTGGCCCCATCAGTGACTGTCAGTGTGTTGGCTCGAGGCTGGGGAAGGAGCTGGAGCTCTGGGAAGTTGGGATGTGGGCTGGCATGGTCCTGGTTTACCATCCCTGCCGAGGAAGGAGAATGAGCCTGGTGACACCGATGGAGGGCACAGCTGCCAAAGCTGTTCAGAGAGCAGCCAAATGTGTCCCCAGAATTTTGTGTCACTTGGGCAATTGATGGTTGGGGAAAGCAAAATTTTACCAGGTGATTCTGAAACTCATCCCTTCCATGGAATAGAGTCTGACACTGCAAGTCATGGAATTGCTGAGGTTGGAAAAGCCCTCCAGGATCATCGAGTCCAACTGTGACCAATCCTCACCTTGTCAACCTGATAAGTTTCACCACTATAATAATATAATAAAATATCATAAATATAATAAAATATAATATAGTGTAATATAATGTAATGTAATATATGATATGATATATAATATAATATAATATAATGTCATACTATATGATATAAAATGATAGGACGTAATATATTTAATATCCTAATATATTTACTTTGAGTAAATAGTACAGATTATATAAAATGTAAGAGAATAATGATAAATTTTCATTCCATTTGATTATAAATGTCATTATTTATGACTTTAATTTCAATTTATTATTTTACCATGATTAGTTATAATTATACAATTATATCATGATAATATTAGATGAGCTATTATTCATGTTATTCATGTTATATATTACATAACATATATTACATATGGAGCTCACTGACAGCATGCAATGCTTCTCACGTGTGCATGTATTCACTCCACTCTCTCTGACAGACACCTGCTGTTGCATACATTATAGCACATATTTGCATATGCAAATTGCCCTGTAGCCGCCCGCCCGCGCTCAGTGGCGCCGTCCCGTGGCCACCCCGTGGCTCCGCCCTCCGAGCCGGCCCCGCCCCGCCCGTTTCCGCCCGCACCGGAAGCTCCATCCCCGCGCTGCCGCTCGCGGCCGCCGGGCGGCGCCACTTCCCGGAAGCGGCGTCCCGGAAGCGGCGGCGGCAGGGGCGGGGCGGGCGGAAGTGACGCGCATGCGGAGCCGCGGCGGGGCCGCCTCGCCATGTCGCGGAGCCCGGGGCGGCGGCCGCAGTTGTGAGTACGGGCGGGCCCGGGGCTCCGCCTCGCAGGGACGCCCCGCCAGGTACGGTCCCGCCGCTCCCCGCCCGCCGGGACCCGTGGGCGGAGACGGGAGGGCGGGGGCGGCGGCGGCCCCGGCGGGACTGGCGGGAGGCGGCGGGGAGCGCGTCGTCCTGTTCGTTCCTTTCTCTTCCATTCCTTTATTATCCTTCTTTTCCCGTCTCTTTCTTATCCCGGTCTACCCCGTCCTTTTCTTGTCCTTTTCCCTCTTCCCTTCCCTTCTCCTTTCTTTTTCCCGTTCCCGTTCCTGGCGGAGCGGAGCGGCCGGGGGCAGTTCCAGCTCCTCCCGCGTGCGGTGTCGTCTCCGGCTTGACGCCACTTGAGTTTTGGTTGAGTTTTGGTTGTGTTTTGGATGTATTTTGGTTGAGTTTTGGTTGAGTTTTGGTTGTGTTTTGCTCTCGGGGGCTCTTGGTATTCGTTGTCACTGCTGCCACATCGCGGTGAGGGTGGGGTGTGCTGGAGGTAGCCGGGAAAAGGAGTGGGGATGGGAGAGGAATTGAACGTTTCACAGTCACGGAATTATTTCCGTTGGAAAAGCTCTTAAAGATCAGTGAGGCCAACCATTCCCCCAGCACTGCCGCATTCACCACAAACCCATATCCCCAAGTGCCTCATCCACTCATTTTTTTAAACACTTCCACGGATGGTGACTCCACCTCTGCCTTGAGAAGCCTTTTATGATGCTTGGCCACCCTTTCTTTGAAGAAATTTTCTCCAGTATCCAACCTGAACCTCCCCTGGCACAACTTGAGGCTGTTCCCTCTCCTCCTGTCCCTGCTCCCAGGGAGCACAGCCCAACATCACACGGCTGTCCCCTCCTGTCAGGAGTTGTGCAGAGCCAGGAGGTCCCCCCTGTGCCTCCTTTTCTCCAGGCTGAGCCCCTTTCCCAGCTCCTTTAGCCGTTCCTGGTGCTGCAGCCCTTTCCTAGCCCCGTTCTCTTGCCTGGGCTCTCTGTGTCAGTTTCACTGATCCCTCATTGTGGTCAAACCCCGAGGAGGTGCCTGTGCTGGGCTGTCCTGGCTGGAGTTGTGCCCAGGGAGTCTCGGGCTGCCCAGCTCTCTGTGCCTCCGTTCCTGCTGCAGAGCTCAGCTGGCCCAGCCGTGCTTTGGCTCTGCTACCTTCCCTTGCCTCTCAGGGTTCTCAGGGTGCTTTGTGTGTTCTGGGATGAGTTCCGGGTGGTTACTGAATCCCGGGGCTGCCGTGGGATCCACGTTGGGTGTTTGTGATGGTCACAGATTCCTCCCGAGCTTTTGTGGCGGAGGAGGATTCGGTCATGGATCAGGAGAGCTGTGGTTGATAGTAGAGCTCAGGGGCTGTTTCCTGGCAGTTTGCACATCCACAATTGTCTCTACTCCAGGGAATATTACACAGTGGATGAAAAGAGTTCCCAGAAGCAATTGCTGTCAAACAGAAAGTGTTTTCTCTGCCATTATGGAAAGCTTCTGGTTTAGGATAAAACCTCAGATCATGAGATAGCTTAAACTGAAATTCTGGTCAGGATTCCTCCAAATTCGACATCAATTTCTTGATTTCCTTTAGATGATGATAATAATTATGGTTATTGTATATTATCTAGATTATATGTTACTATGTATTTATTATTATCATTACTATTATTATTTTATTACAATTTTTAAATAATCCATGGAATGAATGCAGCTGTATAAAATAAATATGTATCAACTACAATCAATTAATTTTACTTTATCCCTGGGTGCACATTTCCAATTGACAATAAATAGTTACTTTACCACTTCCTGGATCCAACTGAACCCATTAAAATTAATTCTTTTGGTTCTCTGGAGTGGCCCATAGTCCCTGGTTATTTATTCACATTTGTAGATGAAAGTTGTGCCTAAAGGAACAGTTGGGAGTGAAGGCAGATGGAAAAGTAGCTCATTGTTCCTTCTGATGACTTTGCAGGAAAATTGAGCCAGTCTCTGGTCTCTGCTGATGCATTTTTTAGTGGCACTGTCAGGATTTATGTGGGAATCATGTGCTGGTGTTTGCACTGGATTTGGTGAATGAATTTATTTGGCAGAAATAAATATTCCTATTTCTTGAAAATAATCCGTGGGTGTTTTTTTTAATGGAAGCATAAAGGACAGAAGATGAATGTTTGAATACTCAGTATTTTGTGTGTTGTGCTGCTTACTTAGAGTAATGAACAGAAAGAGAAGTTTGGACAGTAAAACTGGTGTGTCTGGTCAAGAAAACAGGAATTCTGGTGAACTGAAGGAAATGTAGATTTTTTTTTTTTAATTTTTCTGTTTTGAAATAAGTAAAGAAATAAATCTCCCAGTGTCTTTCTGTTCTCTCGGCTTTCCTGCCATCCTTAATGCCACATCCATAGGGAGGTGTCAGTGTTGCCACACACAGACTGTTCACCAAAAGAAATCTCCTTTTTCGGTCAAAAAAAAGTAATCTGGTTGACAGATCCCTCTGTGAATGTCACAGAATTTTATTCTATTGTTTTTATTGAATTTGATAATTTCTTTGGTGATGTTAAATAAGATTTCTTCCAGTCCACCATTTTTTGGTCTTCCATGAGCTTATTTCCCTCAAGGTTTGTTTATGGATCTGCCTTAGGCCTTTCTAAAGTATCATAACAGCACAATTATTTTTGAGTGTTGGTGTATGAGACTTGAGGAGGTTTATTCTTACGGGCTGGAAGTGAAGGAGGATGAAGAGGAGAAAGAAAACTCTACTTCAGTAACTATGGGAGAAATCCCCATGGACAACCTGGCATGATACAGATTTCTTTTTTTTTTTTCTCTCTTTTTGGTTAGGAAAAGAAATTAACCTGTTCTTTAACCAAATTAATCTAACACCCTAAAAAGGGAATACTGAGGGAGTTTTTTCCATTCTGCTTAAGACATTTTTAAAGATTCATTAATTCTAGGAAGCAGTAACCTTGAAGACTGAAGCAAAACAATTTCTAACTCTTCTCTTCACCACTCATAAATGTATGGGGACAATGCACAGCGCTTTATTTTATTCTGGTAACATGAAACTTCCTCGTGGTTGTTTTTTTGTATCACCTAGGAAAAGTTTTATGATGTGAAATTGTTGCAAAGAAGCCTTTTCAACTTAAGAGAGCTTAAAAGATTTGCCGTGATTCTTTCCTCTGTTGTTGGAGTAAATATGTGTGAATTCCACTTCTCGGTATCTTGTTGGACTTTTCATTCTCTCCTGCCTATCCTTGAGCTTTTTGTCATTCTCCAAACATGTAAATACCTGATATTTGTTTCAAGTTAAAGAATGCTATTTCCCAGACAATTATGATTTTTGGGTGTCTTGCTCTTCTTCATGGAGATAAAAAGCTACAGTTGTGTTCTGTAACCATTAAAAGTAGAATGATCTGAAATTCAGGCAAATGAGATTTTTTTACTGGTGCTTTTCCCCCCAGCCTACTTTTAAAGTTCCTGTTTGTAGCAAGTCAAAACCAGTTTTTAAGTCCGTTGAGCTCGAGGTGAGTGGTGATTCCAGGTGGAATGAGGTGAGCACTGCAAACTGGCAGAGGAACGTATTGATGCAAATATATCATCAGCTCATCTCTCCCTGTTTTTCTTGCTTCCTCTCCCTCTGGTCTGTTCCCCCTCCTCTTGCCCAAAAGTTAGAAATGTCCCCTTGCTTTGACAGGTGGAGGAACAAGCCTCTTTGGAGGTTTCTTCTTGGTGCCAGTTTGCAGCCCTAGTTAGTTGAGGGCGCAGGTAAGTGCCTGTTTCTCTGTTCAGCACTTCCACATTTGTGTGACTTGCTGAAAAAATCCTTCTGAATTTGCCTTTACTTCTTATATGTAGAAGCACAGTTGAGTTTGTAGATCATGAAGTTATGGAAGAAGTGTTGAGAGATTCAAAGCACAGAACAGAAAAAGTGTTGTCTAGGAGCTGCTGCTGTTCTTCATTTGCATTGTCAGTAGTGCTAGAAGGTTTAAAGTTCTTCAAAAGTCTTTTTTCTCTGCTTTAATTATGTTCAAACACACAAATATTTCTACTTCCTCTTCATTTAAGTAAAACTGTTTTCTGTCAGATTGTTGCCTGTCAGTGCTAGTCCATCTCAAGTCTCATTTCTGATTCCAAAGCATCCAATGCCATTTTGCTCCTAAGCCATTAAATGACAGCTTCCATTAGGAACTGTGTGATATATTGCCCATATTTTAATTTTCAGTACCTTAAAAACAAAAGTACTGCTGAATTTCCTGCCCACTGCGCTGTTACCTTATGTAAAAATCTCAGTTTTCACACATTGTGACTAGAAATGAGGCATTGTACCAAAATACTAGGTATGGGAGTTAATTCCAAGGTCACAGCAAGGAAAGCTCGGTGTCCCTGATGCCTTTGTGTGTTGGGCAGTCAGTAGTGGGGTGTTTGTGTCAGTCCCCAGGGGAGTGGGACCCACAGCAGCAACTGCCCAGCTTTGGGAGTGAAGAGCATTCCTGTGACTTCTCACTTGATGGGAAAAGGCAAAAAGGCAAAGGTTGGTTGACTCCTGAGCAGGCACAGTGGTGGGAGGCAGGACTGAGCTCTCCCAGACACTGCTCCAAGCTGAGTCAGAAGCCCAAAAAGACAGAAAAAATGGTGATTTCAAACCTACCTGACATAAAGCAGAACACAGCACTGATTCATTGGGATGGGACTGGGAACATTCCCATGTTTGTATTCCCAAGGCATTTACTGATGTAGGAGGTCAATGGGATGGAGCTGGTGCTCTTGGTGACTCCAGGTAGAGTTGGCAGCTCTGCCTGTTAATCACTCTGGATCTGCTGTCAGGAAACAACTTCCAGTGATTTGGTCTCTTCATTCCAGTGAGGGCAGCTCTGTTTACGCACACATGTCTCTGCAGTGCTTTGGGCAGTAGATTGTTCTGCTCAGAGTCCGGGAGCTCTTTGCAGAAGAGCTTGCTTTGGACAAACTCCACCGGAGTGGAAAAGGTTCTTTGTCTTGCCATGGACTCAGAAAATCTTGGCATTTGGAACAGTCCCAACTGACTTGTGTTTTGACAAGATCTGTTGGTCTCTTGGTGAGTTCTTACCTTCACCTGCAAGAAATCTTTGTTTTCTCTTTGAGATGTCCCTAGTGTTTCCATGTGTTCTTCCTTGGTTTTGAAGCCTTTTCCTTCCCAGACTTAGACTTCTGTTCCCAAAAATGTTTATAACCCAGTAGTATTTGAGGGTTTTCCATCTCTTTGAGGACAAACCACCTCTGTGGTCTGTATCTGCCTCAAGAATGGCCAGGCAGGTGCAATGGAGGGACAGGAGCCACCTGTTCCACAAGATAAACACATCCTGCTTCCAAATTCCTTTGTTGTGTCTGAAGTAATTTCTGCTTTCATCTTGCCTTGCAAGTACTCTGCCTGTATTTTCCTGAAGTGTTCCTGAAATTCATAGTTCATAGCACTCAGGAAGGATATAAGTAGTAACAGGGAGGTGGGAAAGGGAAGAATATGGCTTCTCTGGGAAATCGGGAGGTAGTGGTTTCATTTTCAGAATGAAAGGCCCCGTGAGGGGAAGCAGAGGTAATGTGAGGTGTTTCCTGGGGTCTTCTAACTTATTTTTAATCTGAAAAAGATGCCATTTCTTGTTATTCTGGGGTGTTGAAGTTGGACACTATTTTCAGACAGTCTGAGGTGGTCTGAAATGAAAACCTGGGTAGGTCAGTAGGAAGCTCCTGAAGATTAGCTCAGTCATTTTCCAGGAGTTAATATGCTTCAGCCCTGGGTGTAGAGTTCACTGATGCTCATGAATTAAAGTACCTATGCTTATTCACTTACACTGCCTTTCATTTTTCTCTCTTTTCCCTTTTCTTTGTTAAGCATTTCAGGCTGTATGTACCGAGTCATTCAGACAACGGGACCAGATGGAAAAAACCTTCTGAAATTGCTTCCCATTTCTAAAACTTCTGGAAGCTTTGTGCCAATAGTTCAGTCTCCAGCCATGCCAAATAATTCTAATGCAAATGTTTCTAGCCCAGTCCATCTTACTTTCAAGACACAGATTGGCAATACTGCTGCACTTTCATCTGTTAAGATACCGATTTTTCAGCCTCCTAATCCTGGAAAGATTATTCTTACGAGGACATTAGACAAGCAGGAAAATGCTAGGGCAGGTTCTGAAAAGGAAAGCTTGATTTCAAATGCAGCTGCCAATGCCCAGAGCAGCTGTGTGCCCATGGATGGAGTGTCCTTGCAGAACGTGGCCATCACGAGCTCCTCTCACCAGAGCAGCCCAACCTACACAGTGGTGAATACCAAACCACTCCCAGTGACTGTTAAGTCTCCAATGCTGCCCTCCGGACACCACCTGCAGATTCCAGCTGATGCAGAAGTGAAATCTGTCCCAGCGTCTCTTTTGCCACCTGCAATACAGCAAAAAATCCTGGCAGCTGCAGCCACCAATGTGTCTGGAGGGGCTGACAGTACAAAAGCACCAACAGTGATTTACGTGTCCCCCGTAAACACAGTGAAAACCTCCCAAGTCCTGCCCAAGCACTTGCAGAGCTTTTGCCCTCAACCTGCCACGGAAGTTTCAAAGACACTGATAGTGACAGCTGCCCAGAAGGGATCTGGTTCTTCTCTTGAGCCAGTCACATCCGAGGGGCAGCAGTGCCAGCAAACTCCCATGAAATGGATTGTGCAAGAAACTGCCCCGCTTTCAGCAGCTTGTCGTATCCCTGTAAAGTCTTCAAGTAATGTGGCTTCCAAGATCCTGAAAACTTTGTCAGACACGAAGAACGTAGAAGTTAACCCTGCAAATATTTTACCACTCTGTTCTAATGGTCCTGGTGGAAGCCAAACCAAAATCACACGTTTAAAAGATAATGCTCTGGTCATGTACAATGGGAAAGTCTATTTATTGGCCAAAAGAGGCTCTGATGTTCTGTCAGCCCAGGCTGACAAACAGACATCTCCCTCTTCTGATGCTTTACTTAAAAAGGAGACACCTGAGCAAATTGATTCTACTGAAGTCAATAAAATAACCAGTAAAGTGGTGAATCTGGTGTTGTCAAAAAGCAAAGCAGTGGTGCTGTCTCAGAAAGACCCAAAACCATGTACAGTTTCCAAAAATTCATCACCAATTAGCTTAAGAAATGACTTACAATCCACATCTGCAGCTCTGCTGACACCAAGTGCTAATCAGCAGGATCCCACTGTTATCCTGAGACAGAGTTTGCCCTTCACCAAGAACATTTCTTGCAGTGAAGTGATCCCAGTTCCAGCAGTAGGGATGCAGGAGAGTGTGTGGCAAAATGGCAAAGACATAAGTCATTCCCCAAGAGCAGCAGGGGCTGTGTTACCTCAGGCTAAGCAGGAATGTGCTGTCAGTGAAGACTGGCCAAAGGTAATAAATCATAAACATGCTGCTCAGTGGTTCTGTGGTCCTGGTTTTAGGTGGATAAAATGACTCTTGATGAGGTCACACGTTTTTGTAACCAGGTATCCTGGAAATGCTGTTCTAAGATTTGTTCTAGTCAATAAATTGCCTTTTTCCCAATAATTTTGCATTGTGCGAGTGAGAAATGCATAGAAAAGAAAGGGGCAGAGGAAAGATGGCTTTTGATTTCCTCCCAAGATAAATGGTCAGCAATAACTGGACTCCAGGGAGGCCGTTCATGGTTTGAGCTCTTAGATGTTGATGCCACATGCTTACAGCACAACCTTAGGGCTGTAGGGGTCATGTAGGGTAGAGAAGGACAAGTTTGTGGCTTCACAAGAGGAAAATAAGTTGGAAGAGCAGGGTTTGTCCTCCAGAGACAGCTCTGGTGTGGCACTGTCAGCTCCAGGCTCCAGGCTCTGACAGCCATGGGCAGGAGCTGTGTTTCCTTCCTCCCCTGCCCTGGTGGGGACGGTCCACCTCCTTCGCTCCTGGGTCCATGCCAGGTAGAAGGAACTCTTGACATCCTTAATGGCTGAATTGACATATTCTTTTAAGGTCATAATGTTGGAAATATGTTAAAAGTTGTAAGCCTCCATTCAAACTCCCCACACAGGATCGGGGATCATGTTTTTAGTAGCTCCAGAGCCAGAATGAATTTGTCTCCAAAGGAAAAAAATACGAAATTTGTTTATGTTGTCCAGGAAGAACAGAAGTGTCAGCTGAGTGTATTTTTGCAAATTGTAGACATTTAATTGTTGCAACAGACTGTAATAAGTAGTTTTTTGATTGTTTGTCAACTGAAAAATGGTTGAAATACCATTTATTTTCTTCAGTGCTGTGTGATGCTGAGTCTCAGCATTTGCTTTAACCTTGGTGAAAAATAGCTCAGCAAATTTGGTGTTCTTGTCCCTAAATTTGCAAAGCCCTGGATTGCAGAGTAAAGACACTACTTGCTCTTCCCTCCTCTTTCTTTGGTACTTTGAAAGGGTAGAACAAGTGATTCTCTTGTTGTTTCTTTTATTTCTGTGGGTTTTGGTTGGCCTGGACACTTTTGGGATGTTCCAGTGTACTTAAGGTGTTAAATAATGAGTGTTAGACCTATAATAATTTGCATATAATTTATCAAAATCAGTTTATCTGTGTCAAATGTTACCTGTGTTAAATGTAGCTCTTGGAGAATGGCAGAGAAAAGAAATGTTCACCTGTCTTTCTAGTATTTACTTTTTGTATATTATTAAATGTTATCTATTTATAGATACATAGTGAGAGAGTGATTGATGGCTCTCTCACCATTTCTGTATTTCAGATGCAATGTGTAAAGATGGATTCACCGGGAAAGGTTATTCAAATCAATCACCAAGAGCACTCACACTGGAGACAATATTTGGAATTAAGGAAAAAATTTGGTCTCTATAAGGAAGAGAGAGTTTACCTTACAAGAGTCCCATTAAGGGCCTTCTGTGAGAATCCAGAAGAAGGGGTTTGTTCCAGTGACAGCTTGGAAAGGAAAAATGAGTCTTGCAGTTCATCCTCATTGGATGTGGAAGTAATGAGTCATCATCAGGAATGTGTTAAAGAAAAGGTACCTGAGATTTTTCAGTGCTAAACACACTCAGAAAACAGTGTATGTTTAGTCAGTACAGAGATGGGGGTGTTTGGAACCTCCCACCTCTGGAATCACCAGGAGAGTCAGGAGTTGTTGGGATCTTTATGGGAATTGTTCCTAGAATTTGTTTGAGATTTCTGTATGACTCAAGCACCCTCTAGGAATTTTTATTCTCAATTTTGGGTTCTGCTGGAGGAAACTTGAGCAACAAATGCTTTTGAGAAGACTGTCTCTACTACTATGTTAATGGTCCTTGTTGGAATAGGGACCTGACCTCAGGATCCTGATTTATATTTATGCCTCTGCAGATGGTTATGTTTGTCTAGCAGTGCAGTGGGTACAGGCAGAGGAATGGGTTTACTTGAAATGAAAAGAAATTTACTTGTGGATCTGTCCAATCTTTAGAATTACAAATGTTATTACAAACTTCATCATTGTTTGGGTACTTCTGGATGGAAGAACTTCCATGTTAATGCATGGAAAGGATTTTATCTATCTAAGTATTTCTGTTCAGCTACATTTTCTTCTGTGTGATTCTACTCAACTCAAAGACTTTCTCAGGTTTACTAATTTTGTGCTAATAATCGAGCAGATCCATGGCTGCTCTTAACATTAGCATTAACCCATCCCTTAGAAGTGTGCAAGACCAGGTTGGATGGAGCTTGGAGCAGCCTGGTCTCATGGAAGGTGTCCTTGCCCATGGCAAGGGGTGGAATGGAATGGGATTTAAGGTCTCTTCCCACTCAAACCAGGATGTGATTCCATGATTCAAATAATAAAGCATCTATGAGGAATTTAGTCTGATAATGGACATCACTCCTCAGATTGAGGTTTTGGAAATGTAGACATGAAGAATTTTTCTACACTGAACTTTCCCATCAAATTAGAAAGTTTTTGTCTTGCAGTACTGTTAACTTAAACAGCCACAGGAGATGATGGATGAGGCCAGGAAAGGCAGACATGCAGCATTGACTAAAGAAGGAATTCAGTGTCTGGAATTGTTAACTGGGAATCTTTGCTAGAAAAACATCAAACACAAAAATATGTTTGTTCCTTTGCTGAAAGAAACTTCTTCCAGGCAGTAATTTTAAAAAGCTTGCAACAAATAACTTATAATTTGTGCTTAGAGAACTTGGTGTTACAATGTAACTGATACCAACTTTAACAGAAGTGCATTTTGTCTGTTTCTAACTGCAGATAATTGTTGATCTGGAAGACGATTTGAATAGGAAAAGGAAAATAAAATCCTCACCTTTGTCAGACAGTGGCAAGAGGAGGAGAACTTCAATCAAATCAGCCACAAGTCCCAGTTTAGAAATCACCAGCTCAAGTTCCAGTGCACGTAACAGGAGTGTTTCACCTGCACCAGCCCCAGCACAGCCAAGTGTTCCCACTGGCTTCGTCGGAGTGTCCCAAGAGAGGGACTTGGAGCAGGACACGTTCCTCCGGTACAGTGACACTACCCACCCAGGGATTTCAGTTTTAGTGACTTCTGAAGAGGATACTTCCATTCTGGAAGGTTCTTTCCGAGATGATGCTTTCCCTATGGCTCCCCCAGACCTGGAGGAGACAATACGGGAAGAAAGAATCAAGCGACTGAAGCAGACCCTGCGGCAGCAGAACGCGGCGCTGGAGGAAATGCGCCGGGAAAGGCAGCAGAGCTGAGACCCCTGCCCTGGAGATCCCAACCTCATGCATCACCTCTTCAGTGACTTCAAGAGGAAATCCCTTGCTTAAATGAATATTTTCTGGTAGATGGAAGAACTAGATGAATTTTAAGTATGTGTGTATTTAGAGAACTGTAGGTTTTTGTTAAATGACAGAAATAAGAGAGTTGACCATCAAATTCTACTTCTAGGACATGATCCAAGAGCACAGACAAAGGGCATTTTTACCAGCATATTCCCCATATTTTGAATAGAGGGGGTTCTGTATTAGCCTCAGCAAATAAACTTTCCCCTTTTGAATTCCATGGCCTGGCTTTTAGAACCCCAATGAAAATTGCAAACCCTAGTTGTAGATACTTTTTTGTTTGTTTTTCTTATGTGCATGAGAACTTTGATAACTCCTGAGAACTGTTAATTTTCAGAAGAGGTCAACAGTCAGTGGTTAATAAATGCTATTTAAATTATCTGGGAATTGGACTTTAGACAGTAACAGTGCAGATATTTATACAAAACCTCTTGCAGATGTGAAGACAGAGGCAGGAGGAACCCTGTGACAGTTGTTTGGATTCACGATTCTCTCTGTCATTATTGTGAGCCTTTATAAGGCCATGGCCAGCTGTGCAATGTGGAAATTTGGTTGTGGGGTTGTTTTGGAAGAGTGGGATGTATTTTTTTTTAAGCAGAATTCTGTTAAAAATAATTTCTTGAAGCTAAAAGACTTCTTTATCCCTGGGTGGTATCTTTAACAATCCTCAATGAGTGTTTTTTAATTTGTTGTTGTTTGAACATGTCTCTTGCCACCTTCAGTTGTGGTACCTTAGTTTGCCTTGTAGGAGGGGATGTGCCCTCAGACTGTCTTTACATCCTAATTTTTGGAGAACTTTGTGTGTATTTCCCCACCGTGCTCTGTTGTACATGTAGGGACACCTTTCCTTGTCCTCTATTGTCCATGTCTGATCATTGCAGGTTCCTTCTGCAGTTTTTCAGTTTCCCTTTCACCAAATAATAACTTTTTTTACCAGCAGAGTTTATTATTGCTTTGTTCCTGTCTGTTTGTATTTATGTTAAACATCACCAATCCTGGCAAAGTTCTGCTGCAGATTTGTGTTCATGGAAGGCTTCTTTTTTTACTGTCCTTACTTTTGTTTTTATTCTTATTTTGTTTCATTTTAATCAAATTCTCATCTGCAGGGTTTTCATTTATTATCCCATGGATGCCCAGTTTATCTATAGGGTTTTGGTGGAGGATGGATGTTTCTTGGAGAGCTTAGTCCTGTATTCCTTATTTATTTAAGTTTTCACAGTGGGAAAAATTCCAATGGATTGGAGAGGCAGGAGAGGTTTTTAGAAGCGAAGAAAAATGAAGTTCCTGCTCTGAAGAATCACAGAATCAGAGAAGGGTTTGATGTGTAAGGGTTCTTAAAGCTCATCTCAGTCTACCCCCTGCCATGGGCAGGAACACGTTCCACTATCCCAGGTTGCTCCAAGCCTCATCCAGCCTGGCCTTGGATACTTCCAGGAATGGGGAGATCTTAAGCTAGGCCGAGGTGATGGCCTAGATGCACAGTGGTGGGTGAAGAAGGAAGGTGAATAATGTAAATAAACTCTGCAGTGATTGAGATTACTTGATAGGAGGGAAGTGTGGTGGAACAAGCAAGTCAGGATGGTAGTGTGGTATCCATGGGCTCACTATGTATGGAATGGGTGTTTTGGGACAGAATTGACTTTGGCCAACCCCAGACACTCACCTGCTCCACTCACTCCCTTCCTGCGGGATGTAGGAGAATGGAAGAATGGACTTGTGGGTGGAGATAAAGGAGTTTAACAGGTCAAGCAAAAGCCGCTTGCACAAAAAGTAAAATCAGGAATTCAGTCACCACGTCCTGTCAGCAGGCAGAAGATCAGCCATTTCTGGGGTCTCCGTGTGCACAGTATTTACTTGGGAGACAAATACTGCGACCAGAAATGTCCTTCCATCCTCCTGCTTTCGTAAAGCTTTTATTTGCTGAGCATGGCCTCCTGTGGTATGGAATAACCCTTTGATCAGTCTGGGAATACTGTCCAGTTTCTTGTCCATCCCCAAATTCCCGTCCATCCTCAGCCTGCTAGGGGGTGCACAGCAAGAGAAGGAAAAAATCTGGATATCATGGGAGCTCTCCTAAAAACACGGGTGTGTGATGAGCAGTCTCCTCAAAATCCCAAACATGGCATGATGTGGGGCTACTGCAAAGGCCATCAACTCCATCTCACCTGAAAGGATGAAATGGGACTTGGGAAGGAGATGGAGGCAGCCTTGTGTTGTGTCTCTGGTGCTGCAGTCACCTGGTAGATACTCTTCCAACAGGTTTTGCTCACTGTTCTCTAATAAATGTCTTTCCTTTATTTTCCAATGATCTCAAAAAAAAAATTAATGAAGCCGAGTTCTCTTATCCTCTCGTTTCACTTGAGGATTCCAGCATTGACATTCTACAATGCACCATCTTTCTCCCAGAACCTCTTTTACCCTAACAAAGTAGTCCATTTACCTGAGCTTTTTGTAGAGACGATAAAGTACTCAAAGTTTGGAGAAGAATCCTCACTGCAAAATTTGGAAGAAATGTGACCAGGATTTGATGGAAGAAGATGAATGATGGAAAACACCTGGTGCAGTTCAGAAACCCAGTATGGAAGAGAGTGATCTTCCTTGGAACAGCACCAGTGCAAGTTTGCAGGGTTCACTGAGAGCCAAGAGAAGCCTCTTGATGTTCCAGCGGGGGAAAGTTGTGCCAAGAGGAGCAAAGGGGGCTTCTGACAGCCAAGGACCTTGAGGCTGTTGGAGCTGCTCCTCATCCAGACTCATCATCTGCAGCATGGATTGGAATTTTGCTGCCCTGTTAATCCATGAACTCCCACGATTTATGAAGAGTCTGCGACAAGAACAAGAGTTCTGGAAGTGCTGGCTGTCACCCCAGGAGTGAAGGTGACTGGTAGCCATCCCTGAGTGCAGCTCAGTCTGGCAGGAAAGTGTTACACACTGGGATTGCTGTGCTAAGTACATATGAAATCCATGGATTTAGGATATAAATTACAACTTCAAGCAAATTCCTGGCAAGAATCAGTGGAAGACCGTTTAGGAATTTCAGAGTCCAAAGAGCAGAGGTGGCAGTGAGTGCTGGACAGAACAGATCAGGAAGTGAAGATGGTGCTGGGCAAGTTGCCAACATCAGCCAAACTTGGTGCCTTGGAGTCCCTGGCCAGAACTATCCCTGTGCCTGTCTCCTGTATTGGAGACCCACCACAACCCCAGAATTTCTATGTGAGGCACAAACCTTCACCGAGGTCTGTCCTAGACATAGAATCATTGGATCATTTAGATTGGAAAAGGCTCTCATGATCATCAAGTCCGACCATAAACCTGAGGTAGCCAAGCCCAGCACTGACCATGATCTGGGCATTGCCAGGTGCAGCCCAGGAAGCCAACTGGGGATGGCTTTTAGGGAGCTGTACCAGGAACACCCATCAGATCAAGCTCTGGACAGACAATAGCAGTGTCACATTCACAACACAGCAAAACATAATTGATCCAGGAGGTTCAGGAATGTTGAGGATAAACTCCAGGTGAGAGAGGAGCCAGAAAGGAGAGGAGCTGTGCTGGACCTTGTGCTCACCAACAAGGATGACCTGGTAGGAAATGAGAAGCTCAAGGGCAGCCTGGGCTGAGCGAACATGGAATGGTGGATTCAGGATCCTCAGGGCAACAAGGAGGGCACAGTGAGCCCTGGGACTCAGGATGCCTCTTCAGGGACCTCCTTCATTGAGTCTCATGGGATAAAGCCCTGGAGGGAAGAGGGGCCCAGGAGAGCTTGTTCGTATTTAAGGATCATGTCCAAGCTCAGGAGTGATGTGTCCCGAGCATGAGGAATTTGAACAAAAACTCCAGGAGACCTGTAAGGGCGAACAAGGAGCTCCTGGACAAACTCAAAGAGTGTGGAAGCAAAGACAGTCTAGGAGGAGTACAGAGGGATTGTCTTAGCAGCCAGGGATCAGGTTAGGAAACCTGAAGCCCTGGTAGAGTTAAGTCTGTCCAGGGACATCAAGGGCAACAGAAAAGCTTCTATAGGTACATTGGTGATTAAAGGAAGACTGGGGAAAATGTGGAAATGTGGGCACTCTCCAGAAAGAAACGGGACACCTGCTTTCCCAGGACATGGAGAAGTCTGAGGTTCTCAGTGTTTGTACCTTAGTCTTCTCTAGGAAGTGACCCAGTCACACCGCCTGAGTTGCAGGGGCAAAGGCAGGGACTGGGAGAAGGAAGAACCATCCACAGCATTCCAGAACCTTTAAGGTTGGAAAAGCCCTCCAAAGTCATCAAGTCAAACCTGTGTCATCGAGTCCAACCTGTGACCAACACCTACCTTGCCGCTGAGCCCAGAGCACTGAGTGCTACATTCAGGCATTCCTTGGACACCTCCAGGGGTGGCAACTGCATCATCTCCCTGGGAAGACCCTTCAATGCCTGATCACCCCTTCCAGGAAGAAATTCCTCCTGATGTCCAGCCTGAGACTTTCCTGGTACAACTTGAAGCCATTTCCTCTTTTCCTGTCCCTGTTCCTTGGGAGCAGAGCCTGACCTCCTCTGGCTGCCCCCTCCTGTCAGGGAGTTGTGCAGAGCCACAAGGTCCCCCCTGAGCCTCCTTTTCTCCAGGCTGAGCCCCCCAGCTCTCTCATCCATTCCTAAGAGGACTTGTGCTCCATACTCTTCACCAGCTCTGTTCCTTTGTCTCGGCTTGAGAAGATAAAGTATCTTCTACTGGAGTATCTTAAATACTCCAGTAAAGGAGTATTTAAGGAATATGAAGGTGCACAGGTCTGTGGGATCTGATGAGATGTGTCTATGGATCTTGGGGGAACTGGCAGAGGAAGTTCCTAAGCCACTCTCCATCACATTTGGGAAGTTGTGGCAGTTCAGTGAAGTTCCCACTGACAGGAAAAAGGAAAATTTGATCCTGTTTTTCAAAAGAGAAGGTAGATGCAGTATGCTACAGGCCAATCAGTCACACTGGTGTCTGGCAAGATCATGGAGAAGATCCATCTGGAAACTGTGCTAAGGCACGTGGAAAATAAAAGGTGATTGGTGACAACCAACACGGCTTCTCTGAAGACAAATTGTGCCTGACAAATGTGGTGGCCTTCTATGACAAGGTGACAGTGCTGATAGGTGAGGGCAGAGCAACTGACATCATCTACCTGGAGTGTGCAAAGTACTTGACACTGTCCTGCAGGACAGCCTTGTCTCAAAACTGGAGAGACATGGATCTGATGGGTGGAACACTCACTGGATAAGGAATTGGCTGGATGGTGGCACTCAAAGCGTTGTGGTCTGCAGCTGTAGACAAGTATGTCTGAGTGGAGACCAGTGGCAAGTGGTGCCCCAAGGGTCTGTGCTGGGACCAGTGCTGTCTTTGTCAGTGACATGGACAAGTGGGATTGAGGCACCCTCAGCATGATGCTGACAGTGAGATGTTTGGTGGGGTCACACACTGGAGGAAAGGGATGGGGCATCCAGAGGGAGCTGGATGGGTTGAAGGGGTGGGATCATGTGAAACTCATGAAGTTCAACAAGGCCAAGGATGAGATCCTATCTCTGGGTTGGGGTGACCCCAGCACAACTCCAGGCTGGGGGGGGATGAATGGACCAGCCCTGAACAGAAAGACCTGGGGTACTGGCGGATGAGAAGCTCAACAGGAGTGACTCCATCAGTGATGAGGGAAAGCTGACAGATGTCATTTATCTAGACTTCTGTAATCATTTGATGTGGTTCTCCCCCAGTATCCTCTGCATTGGAGAGATGGATTTAACAGGTGGACTGCCAGGTGGATAAGGAACTGGTTGATGGTCACATCCAGGCGGTTTTGGTCAATGGCTCAGAGTCCCAGTGGACATTAATGACAGTGGTGTCCCTCATGGATCTGTACTGGGATCGGTAATGTTCCTCAGGGGTCCGTACTGGGACCAGCATTATGTAATATCTTCATTAATGACAAATAAAGGGATCTAGGACATGCCGAGCAGGTTTGTAGGTGACACTGAGCTGAGTGGGCTGGGACACCCCTGAGGGAGAGAGTCATTGAGAGGGACCTGGACAAGCTCAGAAGTGGCCCATGGGAAACTCAAGAGGTTTAATAAGGCCAAATTGCAGGTGCTGCAGCTGGGTCAGGATGACCCTGGGATGGATCCAGGCTGGGGGTGAGCAGATGGAGCATGGGAGAATGACTTGGGGGTGTCAGTGGGTGAGACCTGGATTTGCCTCAGCCCAGAAACCCCCCAAGCCCTGGGCTGGTCCCCCGGGGGGGCAGTAGGGGAGGGAGGTTCTGCCCCTCTGCCCCACTCATGTGAGATCCCACCTGCAGAGCTGCCTCCAGCCCTGGGACCCAACAGCAGCAGAAGGATGTGGAGCTGCTGGAGCAAGTTCAGAGGAGGCCATGGAGATGCTCAGAGGGCTGGAGTCCCTCTGCTCTGGAGTCAGGCTGGGAGAGCTGGGTGTGTTCACCTGGAGAGAGATGCTCCAGGGGAAGAGAAGGTTCCAGGGAGACCTTAGAGCCCCTTCCAGGGCCTAAAGGGGCTCCAGGAGAGCTGGAGAGGGA